GTAGTAAAAAACTTTGGATTTCACCACTGGGTGACAGTCAATATTAAATATCTTATTGGGGAATTCTTGGGGGTCTGCTAGTTAAGCTTGTATTCCCCACCCCGATCCCCAGTGTTGTTGAACTAATTATATAATTAATGTCACATCTGATTAGATATATTAGAAATGTTTGGTTGCAGATCGTTTCCTGGACCCAAATCTTACACTGGATAGCTGAACTTCAAATGTCAGCCCTATAGATACACCAAGAAATCAACTTCATAGAGAGGCTAAAATTACTTTTATTGAAATTGGCTATAATAACAGAATCTTGCAAGTCTGAGCTCTTCTCTTCCTTATACTCCAGTGAATTAGGGTGGTGTTTGCCCGAGATACTTCTGAATACTACCTCAATAATTCTGGAATTATACTTCAGACTGTTTAACTTTCTGCTCATCTCTATCAAAGTCATCATCTTTACTCTCTGCGGGTAGAGATTGTGATTCCACTGCTTCTCTTACACCTAGGTGGTTCCAAATACATTATAATTGAGCACATTCTTTTGGTAAAGGTTCTCTGTACTGCAAGTGCATTTTTATTGGAATATTTCAAATCCAATAAAGTTAAAATCGCTGTATAAAGTTTCTCAATGACTCTGAAAGCAAAACAAGTGATTGAAATTACAGGCACAAATGTTCCAATGGACAGTGGTGCATCATTTGGCTTGAAAAAATTCCCAGCCTTTTCTGTTCTATCAACATAAGTTGCCCCGAGGAGGAAACAGGTTTTAATTCAGTATTAGCCATCTAAATCTTATTCATACCTTAGTAGCTAAGAGAACTTGAAATCTTAAATAACAAGTCTTTGTTTGAAAAAGAAAAGACAGTATCGTTTGACTGCAGACCTTGTCCTAGTGGGATGGATTAATCGTCCTGTTAATTTACAGGCAATACCAATTAGTGTGCAGCCTTTTCCTTCTAGCCTTCAGCTATTTTAAAATTCCATACTTGTTCATGGCTTATTAGGGTAGGTATCTGTTCTCCAGACCTCAATGATTGTCTACGTGGAGCAAACACTACCTACTTCTTGCCTCAGCGACCTAAATCAAAATCAACCCAGTGTTTCAACAATTTGTATTCAATCAAGGAAGCCAGACTTGAATTTGCATGTCTATTCAATCATTAAATCATTTAGATGGCTGTAGAGAAAGGAAGGCATAGATGGCAAACTATTCCGATATGCCCTAATGGGTGATCAATTAAGCATTATAGTTTGTCGCATAATCGGCCAGATGTTTAGACAGGATTTGGCATTTTTATCCACCTATCAAGTCCTTCCCTGGGATAGGAGATGTTGTTATTTCATGGGTTTAAGATATCACAGGAAGTGAGTTGTTCCAAAAGCTGCCTTTTGCAATTGTCAGTGATTTTGTCAATGGTGTTCAAGTGGTGCTCCAATTGTTTTGTGATTGCACCCAAGGGGCCTATTAGTATTGGTAGTATCTTTGTTTTCTTTTGGCCTAGTTGTTTTCTTTGCAGGTCTTTGTATTTTGTGATTTTCTTCAATTCTTTCTCTTCTATTCTGCAGTATTGTTGTTACTATTATAGATGGGGAACTGCCACTTTGAAATGGTTGTAAGTAAACATCCTATGTAAAAGACCAATTCTAGTCCAAGCTTATGTTTGCTTCATGGTGTTGTGACAGGTTAGCTCTCTTCTATTTGTGCAGTGAGATGGTCAGTGCTGTCTCCAAAACTACTCACAGGGTTGTTTGGATGTTCTTAAAGCTGGTGGGGTTTTTTTTCTTCTACCATTAGGTTTGGCAACTTGAACCTTGGCAAAATCAAAATGAAAGTAAACTTTGTTCTTTCGGAATTGGGGAATGTAGTAATTCATTCACTTACTTGTATGGTTTATAGACCATATAACCATACTGACTCTGAGCAGTGTAGAACTGCCCAAATCTATAATTTGGAATTAAAATATAGTAATAGGAATTAATATAGGAATTAAAAAATAGTAATCAAATTTAAAACAAAAACCATACCCTGTAATTTTGTGTACCACATAATACACAATATAACCCTATAGTGCTGAACAACAGTGTAAATTGGCTGCTTTGTGGAAAGAGACTTTAACCTGCTTGGTTTGCACTTTATTTATAATTACTATATCTGCACATTGCTGAAAATATCTTATTTTGAAACTGGGAGGGTTGGAAATCAGCATCCTAGGTGTTTTTCTAAAAAAAAAAATGCTGAGTTGAATCACATGGAAAAGCAGGTGCAATACCTCTGCTTCAGCATTTTGTTAGCTTCCTCCCCTGTGCCCACCCGCCCCGAGACCTGAAACAACTAAAATAAAAAATCCTCAAAGAAGAGATCTATCCCAGTAAACTATATAAACTTATGGATCTCTTTAACAGAAAGACATAAAGCAAGTGGTTAACAATACTTTTAATATGATCGGGGATAAAATTGTTTGACATTGACACCAATGATTTTTTTTTTTTTAGATTTAAGGAATGAGTAAGCTATTTGAATCTTTCCAAAGCTTTCTACTAGCAGCCCACCAACAATCAATTGAACTCAAATGGTATATAACTAGGGAGGCAAGCATACTATGGATGGAAAGAAAGGGCTCTGGAACAACTCCTCTACCATTATGTCTTTTTGCTTAAATAAGCATTCAAATGGATGGAATCTCTCAAAACTGAATACCCTAAGATGAAATTCACAGCTATCTGGATGACCTATAGAAGATGGAACATGATGAATTAACAGAGAAAGTCTAGCAGTTGTAGTCCCAACATATCTGAAAGATACTAGATTGAGGAAGCCTAGTTTAAGATTGGAATCATGTATCACATTTTATCATAATCCATCAAGTCATGACTTGTAGTGATGTAGAGTTCAGGTACTAATGACAGATGTTAATCTAATCCAGCCACTTCCAAATGTGGGTTTCTGGCTGTTGGACTAAAACATCTGTCATCAATAATAGAACGTGATCATCCAACTTGGTAGGTGGTCAAAGCATCTAAGATTTCCAAAATACATTCTTATACTTCAATGTCATTTGCCATTCTGAGTAATGATTTGTTTTGGCAAAGTCATCATGTCTCAGTCATGGATTTATTATCGTTTCCACTCTATTCAAGGACAATTGCAAGGATAATTATAATTATATATGCATTCTTGATATATATTCTCTAGGAAAATGGAATTTGGGAGCAAAAAAATATGTAACTGTAGTCATGCTTATTTGAACATGGATATCTTTCTATTTTTTAATTTTATAGCAACGGATCTGCTGAATATCTGTTGAAATATTACTTAGATCAGTCTAAAATATCTTAAACTGGAGAACATAACTGCATCCTAGAATGAACAGACAGCATACAAGTATTCCTCAACTTCACTTGCACTGTCCTGGTTTATGTGATTGCCATTTATAACCTTCCCATCCAGCTTCAAACAAGCAAAGTCAATGGAGGAGACAGGTTTGCTTATCAGCTACATGATTCCCTTAACAACTGCAGTGATTTGGTTAACAATGGAAATTTCCAGACATTTTCTACCATGCTTCTCCATGAAATAAAATGCGGAAAAAATACACACATAAAAGTTATTTTTACAAATGGGATGGAAATACGGTTCTGGGCCTATAGGATGCAATCCTAAGCATGAAGTCCTGATGAAATCAATACCTCTTCTATTATTCTTCCTGCAAAAAAGCCAAGAGGCAAAGAGCACATGGATCATCTGCAAGAGGGTGATAAAAAGAAGAGTTGATATGATAGATCAAATTTCTATCCCTTTTTGTATGTGTGGCACCTACTGAAGAAAGAGTTGCCAAGTAAGCAAATTACTGGTGAACAAAAGAAGGGCTCTTCCACATGAAGGCTTTATCACATTTTGAAACTCGTTCTGGTATCATATAAGGTTTGAGTCTGGGAGAGAAGCAGCTCAGTGGCAGCTTATTTAAAACTGGACAAAGTTGGTGTATTGCTTGCCATGTTATGTTTCAGCGGAGCTTGTGGGTGCTCCGCTTTTTCATTGCCCAGAATTCTGATATTACCTAACCCTAACTTCTGGACCACAGGTAACTCTTCTCAGTAGAGCTTCAGCATCTTGTTTGTCTCTCCTCCTCCTCTTCTCTCTCCGTTTCAACCACTGAGAGAACCATCTAAGTGTAAAATGCTTAATACTGTTCTTTTACCATTGTGATATAACAGCTGACTGTTAATGCTTGTAGCCAGACAAATGCATGTACTGAAAGCATGATGGGAAAGAAGGCATCAGCAATTTATTTTATTTCTTTGATTCAACGTGTAGAAGAGAGAGGGAATATTGTTGTTCTGGGCTCTGGAGTAGCTTGTAGCAGAACACTTGCTAAACTCCACATTATCCTTTGATCAGATGGAGGCACCTGCTGACTGACTAATGATGTTTCATGCATGTTCTCAGTAGTTTGAACTCTATAGTGGTGAACATGTCTTCAGGACAGTTTTGAATTGTATTGGAACGTTTTCATAGTAGGAGCAACATTAGTATGGGAATGGCCTCAAAAGAAAAGTCCAACAGATGTGGAATAAAGGCAAAAATTATCCAATAAATAGGGGAGGGTCTTCATCTAAAGAAATTTCACTGTGCTATAAGAAAATCATGAGTTGTAGTGGCATTGTAAATTATTTTCTAATGTTTATGATTACATCTATCTTTATTTTATGATTCTTTGAGCTTTAAAAGCCCCCTTTATTTATAAATACCATTTTCCTTCTGTTTTATTACAAAAGATACTAGTATACTCCTTCCTTCTTAAAATACAAATACTTGCATAGATTTCTGTGAATGTAAACCTTTTAATGGCCCACAAACCTCATGTATAAACATTTCATTTTAATCATAGGCTGCCCTGAAAAATGTTAACGTTATATGCAGCTCTAGTGATACATAACATAACTAGCAGTGTTAATCATTGAGATACTTTGTAAGCAAGATTACGAATTCAGGTACCACCTTGAAAGCAATAACAGAAAAGTGCTTTAATATATGTAAATGCCTATATCCAGGCAACAGTAACAAAAAAAGAGATCAAATTGTGCTTACATTGTACATTTTCATTGGTATTACAAGCATGGTAAATAGAGTATTCTGTTACTATAGTACTATAATGTAGTACCATACCATATGTATAAATATTGCAACACAGTGCATTTTAGATAGCATAAGAGACAATATTTATCATAACACTTCCTCATACATATATACCACAGGACTATTAGTCTGCCCCGAGTTCCCCACTGATACCTTTTTTATTTTTGAGGAATGATAAAAATAAGGCAATACTATGATTCAGAATGTACTTCAAAATCTTATGTTTTTATAAAATGTCTTTTTTCTTCTTGATGTGCTTCTCTTGCTAACATTTTTAACCTCAGCCTAGAAAAGTTCACAAAGTTGAAACTGATAGAGAAGCAAAGATTATTCTATATTGCTCTGCTTTTCCAGTCTGAAATTACTCCCCTATAACTCCTAAAGGATAATTAATGAAAAAGTCTAATTGCAGAAGCCTTTAGCCATACATTTACATTGTTCTAAGCTGCATCAATGTTCATCCCTATTTGACTGATAAGAGTTGAGGCAGGAATCAAAAGAGTCATCTATGCTCTCAGAGCTCTGTCAAGAATGAGAGATTTTAACAGAATTTGTAAAAAGCTTATCTACTTATAAGTGCTTATTTATATCCAATCATACTGTATGTTAATCTAGTGCTAAATTGAATTTAGTTTACAAAGAGGGATGCAGTCACTGCAAAATTTCCTCCAGAGGGTGTTCTATCACTGGGACTTCAGTCAACTGCAGACTCAGGGAATTCTGACCATGATCGCTCGCTGTAGCAGATCGGCTGACTTCCCACAGGGTGTGCTTGGCCAACTCTGAGAATGTCACACTAAAGCAGGATGGAAGCTTCTTACTGAGAAGGACATAAAGGATAGGGTTCAGGCAACTATTAATGAAGGCAAAGCCAATCGAAAGAGGCATGGCATTTTCAAGCAAATCATGCAAAGAGGTGTTATGATGAGCTGACAGTTCCAGAATGCTAAATATTTGATATGGGGTCCAGCAAATAAAAAAACCCACCACCACCGCAAGGATAGTCCAGAAGAGCCTGCTGGAGGTTAATACTGTACTTTTTTTAACCTGACTGAACAGAAAGGAATAACAAACAATCATAGTTAAGAGTGGAAAGAGATAGCCACAAATGAACTTTATCCATGTAAGTGTATGGTGTCTGAATACAATAATATCCAAATCTTGGTGAAAGTTGTAATAGCATATGGTGACATTTTGGGGTAATATAAATGTGTCTTTGAAATACAGTGCTGGGCTTCCAAGAACTGTAGCCAAAATCCAAATGAGTAAAACTAGGATATAGGCATTCCCAAGTGTCCGATGCCTATAGGAGAAGGCAGGGTGGATCAGATGGACATAACGATCAAGGTTGATTGCTGTCAGGAAGAAGACACTGGCAAACATGTTGAGCAAGGCAATAAAAGTATTTGCTTTGCACAGCCATTTCCCAAAAGGCCAGTGGAAGCCCATGATGATGTATGCAATATATAGGGGCAAGAACAAAACAAATATTAAGTCTGCAATTGCCAAGTTGAGGAACCAGATGGATGTAACTGTCTTATTCCATTTGAAGCCCATGATCCAAATAACTATTGCATTGCCAGGTACTCCTAAGAGAAAAGCCATCATCTGTAGCACAAGAGAAGCAATTTGTGCATGACTGAGGTGGGCCTGGGCCTGAAGTGGCTCATCTTCCCCATAATCTCCAAAGTATTCAGTAAAGTTATCTTGGTACAGGAAGTCAGCTGATGACATGACCACACTCTGTCTCCTAGGAACTTAGATCTGGAGGAAAAGGGATAGAGCAGGTAGTTACAAGTATAATAGTGGTACTTTCAACCAACTTGCTGGTATCTATAGGCCCACAAATGCAGTTATTCAATCTTGTACAGCAGTTTTCAAATATTGATCTGCATGGTAGATGGAGTCTTATTTAAAAGAAATAGGGTAATGCAGTGTATCAGGAAACAGCAAGGTATCATTGCACCAACTGTAACCAACATAACAATACAGGATACAGTTCATTTAGACCACCTCATGTTCATGATTGTATCTAATGTTTTGTCCAAGGACAATTAAGATTTCTTGTACCTTGGAAGCATGAGTCCAATTGAGGAAAGAGCCTATAGTGACTTCTGCTTATAATTTGAATTATTATTGTTGTTATTGTTATCATCATTGTATATATTTCCCAGAAACACTTTCCTTTGCATCTCATTGACACTTCTATAAATGAATGTTGTAATCCATTGTATCTGGAGAAAAAAAAAGAAATAAAAAAAAACAGACTGGGAATAGCTGTCACAGAATCTGCCTATCTCTCTTTTCAGTGCTTTTCCCCTTAATGTTCTCTGTAATGTTGACAGGGTTCACACATCCACTAAACCAGTCATAATGTACTTTATTTGGTCTGATATAACATGATGTGTGAATGCAGCTTGTAGTTTCTATTTCTTGATCTGTGAGTTGGTGTGAGATATAAATTGAGCCACTTCTGAGAGATTCACAAAGTATCATTAAGCAGAATACAGCTTTGCATAAGAAAGTCCATCCTTTCTGTAAAATATGTGGTGTTGTGGTTAAGACATTAGGCTAGAAACCAGGAGGTTGTGAGTTCTAGTCCCACCTTGGGCACAAAGCCAGCTGGATTACCTTGGGCCAGTTATTTTCTCTAAGCCCTAGGAAGGAGGCAATGACAAAGCACTTCTGGAATCTTGCCATGAAAAGTGCAGGGACTTGTCCAGGAGTCAAAAAACTGATTTAAAACCACAACAATGTATATGGAAAAGCAGAACTGCACTATTGAAACCCCTGCACTAAAAATGGCAAGATGGAAAAACATAGCACTTCTTAAGGGTTGGGAAGCTTGGCTGGCTATTGTTTGTTAAAAGTGTTTGAGTCAATACCTCAGGATGCTGTCCTACAAAAACCTATAAGAGAAATTGAAAGGGATAAAGCATGGAAAAACACTGAAATTGCTGCACCCCACCGCTGCACCCCACTGCAGGGAGGCGGAACCGACCAGGTGGTTCCGCCCCAGGCGCCTGATGGATCCTGATAGGTTCCAGAGGGAGCTTGGGCCAGTTCCTGAAACTCTGGCACACGACTCGGCTGAAGATCTGGTGGCTGCCTGGGATAGGACAGCCGCCGGTGCTCTGGACCGAGTCGTGCCTTTGCGGCCTCTGACCCGACGCCGAACCTGCCCGGCTCCTTGGTTTTCCGAGGAGCTGAGGGAGATGAAGCGCCGGAAAAGATGCCTAGAGAGTGGTTGGAGGGCGAGTCGCTCCGAATCCGACCGAACACTAGTTAGGTCTCATATTAAGACCTATCTAGTGGCGATAAAAGCGGCAAAGCGTAACCACTTTTCCGCTCTTATTGCATCGGCAGATAACCGCCCAGCCGCCTTGTTTAGGGTGACCCGCTCCCTCCTACATCAGGGAGCACGGGAGGACCCCTTGCAAGGGCAGGCTGAGGATTTTGCACAGTATCTGCACGATAAAATCGCTCAGATTCGGGAAGGCTTGGACTCTGACTGGGTAGATCCCGGCGGGGTGACTGAGGCTGGTCTTGAGAATGTTACCTGGGATGAGTTCGACCCTGTGACTCCTGAGGACGTGGACAGGATCCTGGGGAGATTAAACGCAACCACATGTTTATTGGACCCGTGCCCCTCCTGGCTGGTACTGGCCACCCGGGAGGTAACACGAGGCTGGCTCCAGAGGATCATAAATGCTTCTCTGAGAGAGGGTTTCTTGCCTCCCGCCTTGAAAGAGGCGGTGGTGAGCCCCCTCCTCAAGAAGCCTTCTCTGGACCCGGCCGTTTTGGCAAACTATCGTCCGGTCTCCAACCTTCGCTTTGTTGCGAAGGTTGTGGAGAGTGTGGTTGCGCGCCAGCTCCCACAGTTCCTGGATGAAACCGTCTATCTAGATCCGTGCCAGTCCGGCTTCAGGCCTGGGTACAGCACGGAGACGGCATTGGTCGCATTGGTGGATGATCTCTGGAGGGCTCGGGACAGGGGTTGTTCCTCTGTTCTGGTCCTGTTAGACCTCTCAGCGGCTTTTGATACCATCGACCATGGTATCATGCTGCGCCGGCTGGAGGGACTGGGGGTGGGAGGCACCGTGTTGCGGTGGTTCTCCTCCTATCTCTCTGACCGGTCGCAGTCTGTGTTGGCAGGGGGGCAGAGGTCGACTTCGAGGCGCCTTGCTTGCGGGGTGCCGCAAGGGTCGGTCCTCTCGCCGCTCCTGTTCAACATTTATGTGAAGCCGCTGGGTGAGATCATCCGTGGTTTTGGGGTGCGATGCCATCTGTACGCTGATGACACTCAGCTGTACATTTCCACCCCAGACCACCCCAATGATGCCCTCGAAGTGATGTCCCAGTGTCTGGAGGCCGTGCGGGTCTGGATGGGGAGGAACAGGCTTCGGCTCAACCCTTCCAAGACCGAGTGGCTGTGGATGCCGGCGTCCCGGTATAGCCAGCTGGTGCCATCGCTGGCTATTGGGGGCGAGTCACTGACCCCCACAGAGGGGGCTCGCAACTTGGGCGTCCTCCTGGACACACGGCTGTCTTTAGAAGAGCATATGACGGCCGTGGCCAGGGGGGCTTTTTATCAGGTTCGCCTGATACGCCAGTTGCGCCCCTTTCTGGATCGGGACTCCTTGTGCACAGTCACTCATGCCTTGGTTACGTCACGCCTGGACTACTGTAACGCTCTCTACATGGGGCTCCCCCTGAGGAGCACCCGGAGGCTCCAGCTGGTGCAGAATGCGGCTGCGCGGGTGATTATGGGGGCGACGTGGCGCTCCCACGTAACACCTCTCCTGCGCGAGCTGCATTGGCTCCCGGTGGTCTTCCGGGTGCGCTTTAAGGTGTTGGTTCTCATCTTTAAAGCGCTCCATGGCTTAGGGCCAGGGTATTTGCGAGACCGCCTGCTGCTACCGATAACCTCCCACCGGCCAATACGCTCTCACAGAGAGGGCCTCCTCGGGGTGCCGTCGGTCAGGCAATGTCGGCTGGCGGCCCCCAGGGGGCGAGCCTTCTCTGTGGGGGCACCCGCCCTGTGGAATGAGCTGCCTCCTGGAATACGATTGATCCCGGACCTCCGGACCTTCCGTAAAGCCCTGAAGACGTTTTTATTTCATCAAGCCGGCCTAGCCTAAATGGTTTTTAATTGGGATTTTAAATTTTATGGATTTGGGGTTTTAAATTTGGGTAGCCGATGATTTAATTCTTTTAATTATCTTAACTTTTGCATTTGTATGTTTTTTAATTTTGGCTGTTCACCGCCCTGAGTCCCTTCCGGGAGAAGGGCGGTATACAAATTAAATTAATAAATAAATAAAATAAATAAATGGTCAGAAAGCAACATTGTTTAAAATAGAAATTCTTTACCATCTGGGAAAATAAAACAATATATTAAGAAGAGATGTTTCTTTAGAATATATTAAAATGCTATGAAACATTCATGTTTGATATTTTATGAACACATTTTATTTATTAATTCAATTTATATGCCGCCTTTCTCCGGAGACTCAGGGCGACAATGTCATTAAAACATAAGTTAACCATTTACAATATCTTTTTAAAGGCTATAACCAAATATCACCTTTTCTATACTGGAGACTTTTCAGGGAAAATAACATGCATTTATTTATTCCCACTGTGAATGGTGCCTCATCTCCTAATCCCTTTTATTCTGATGTATGGGCATTATGGGCACCTTTACCCAAACAATTTGGTATGCATTTTGACACAATATATATGTTTTTAATTGGAAGACCACAGGGTGGAAGAAACGGTTTTCTTAATTTTAAAATCACAGGGCATATATGAAAACAAAACACGCTTTCCACAAGTACAACCATAACATAGAAAGGAGCTACAGCTTTGCTCGCTTTAACCCAGTTGCTCCCATCCCTAAAATAATTTGTATTTGTATACAATGGAAGTATATGTTTTTAAATTGTAAGAATCCTCTTCTGTTTGTTTAGGTTGCAACTTTATGCAAACTATCTGGGAAATAAAACCTATTCAATTCAATGATGAAGCTGAAGGACAGCTTTTGAGATGTCATGCATCCCACTGAAAGCATTTAGAGACATACAACTGAAAATTTCCATATGCCACTCAACCTCATTAAGTTTAATTAACTTCATTGCTAAATAATCAAAACATGCAATACAGATGTACTTAGAACAGCATGTGCAAGAACAGCTTGCTGAATTGAGAGGAACACTTTATGGGGCAATTTTGTAAATTATGTTGGAAACATCAATAATAAAACCAGCTTGACATACTTTCATTTTATTCACAGTGGCAAGATTTTAGATATTACTTACAGTACATTGGTCTGCATTATGAATATAGCCTGGTGATAAATGATCCCCACATAAGAGGAACATATTTTTAGCATGTCTGCTGTTCAGCTCAGCTGGTTAAATTACCTGACTTGATTCTGACTTTTAATGCCCTGAAGAAAAAAGTCAAGTGAAGTGAATAATTACATTTAACTTTTTTTCTCCCCTTTCTCCTTTTTAACAAATATGCCACAAACTGAATAGGTGTGTGTTTTTTTTAATCAGTACCTGCCTTTAGGCTGGGCAGAATGCATTACTGTGTGACTGAACATATAGCAGATTCTGAGAACAAAGAGGAGGACCATTACAGAGGAAGGTAGGAAACATAATCAACTTAAGAGTAGCTCAGCCTTTATTACACCAAGTAAAACTTGATCTGGAAAACTGCTTTTGAAGACTTTCAAGATTTCGTCAATTTACAATAAAAATCATTCCAGAAGTCCAAGTGGTTATAATGCTCTGAATTTATCAGCCTTAGTGGCTGAGGCAATCAATACTGTTACTAATTTAAATGAACAGTGACAACATTGTGAAGAAGGGAATTAGCCAGATCAAGTCACAGGAACACACAGGGAGAAATTTAACCTCTATTCTGTGGTCCTGTCACTCCTGCTCCATTCTATTAACACCACTAGAAGATTTCTTCACACTGCCAATATTAACTTCAGTTGCAAACAAAGCTTAATTTGAGAAATAGGGCTATTTTAAAATGTTCTCTCTTTGATTCATGGAACAGACTTTTTTTCCCCCATAGCAATAAACTTACAGGTTTTGCAAATTTCCAGTAGAAGCAATGCACAGGATAGCCTAGTTGATGCTGATAACATCACTAATCTCCTCTCCCCCCTCCCCACCAGGCTTGTCCTGGGCAAACAGATACATGCACAATTGGTGATTTTTTAATAATTTTAAGTACGAGTAGCACTTTTTTGGTCCATAGGGGGAAAAGGAGTTTTCCTGAAGCACAAAGAACAAGCAAGACCGACCACCGACTTGCAAACTGCTGCAAATCCTCCATTAGTACCACTGAGAAGGTGAGCAAGAGCAAAGAAAGAAGCACACTTGCTGGCTTAGAAAAGTGTGGCAGTCCTTGCCTTTATTTAAGTGAAAATGCAGCATCTCAATGAACAAAGATTTCTGAACATTGTGCTGATCCTGTCTTTGACTTAACACAGAAGTCCATAATCTCACCAGCAGTGCAACTATGGATTTTTTAGTCCACATCATTTGTATATGATCCTGTTTCATTTCTGTGACCCTCCAAGATCATAAAATGGCTGTGCTTTTGGAAACTGTATTCTTGAACATCTCCTCAATTATATAGATGGAATTAATATAAAATTTATATATAATATACCAGTGCTATCATCTGTGAATCTATCTTACTTAGCAGCCTAGACTCTAAATGCATTATTCTGCTATTGTTATCATCCCAAGCCAGCACGGTCATATCCATATCAGTGGGATAAATGGGAGTCCTACCTCAACATATTTAAAGACACCAAGGATGTCAAATGCCAACTTTCCCCATTCGTCTCCAGTTTTTCTTTCCTTCATCTGTTCTCTTCAATATTGGCTTTAAGACTGAGCTTGCATTATCTGCATCTTCTAACCAAATGGAAGATTAAACTTTTTCTTTCAAATGTTAGCATTAAGCTAAAGAATGTTGTTTAGCAAAGAGGGTATATGGCTTTGTGGTAAAGATAACTTTTGAAAATATTTTCAAAATGTGACATTTTGTCCAGGATGCAAGCTATATCATGTAATTCTTCCCAAGAGGATGAATTCTACGCAAAGCACCAGCACCACCCATATGAGTCATGAAAAAAAATGAGCAAGTCATTTAAACAGCTGCAGTTGGAAACAATTTTAGGGTCAGAATGAATAAATGTTGTTTTCAGTGAAAATAAAGTTGACTGGTCACTTTAAATAAAAAATATTCACTATTCTTAGCAAGAAGCTCCGTCTTGTTGCCATTTTGTCTATATCTTCAATGTTTTAGCTCCAAGGCATTTGGATCACAAATATACATATATAAATGCATATATATAAACACAAATATGCACATTATTTTCTCATGTGGTTTTCCCTATATTTTCCTACACATTTCCAAATATCTGATATTTGAGAAAAGAATTTCCATTAGGCACAATCTTATAGATATAAAGCCCCATCCTAGGCAGTTGGAGTGCATTCAAATTTTGGATAATGCAAACTGATAGATATTCTAATGCTGAAGCAAAATTTGGTTCAGGGCTTCTTCTTTATTTTAATTTATTTTTCTTTTTAAATTATGTTAATAGTTTATCAAATCATTGCATACTGGAATGTAGAAAATTCTTTCCTCTGTTACTGGATGTATGAATGGATTGATTGAATTATACTTTCTAATATTCCTAAACTGCAAGATAAAGTGTCTTTCCTCTTCAGGTCAGGCTAGGATAGGATTGTGTTTGTCTTAACAAAAAGTCTGTAGTTTGTCTTCTAATAAGATAGAGAACTCTTTAGTGTTGATTGATATCTGGTTTGTCTCTTCATGGACTCTAAATAATCTTATGATTTTCCTCCCCATTAACATCCTAAATTTTACGCTCACAGGTTCTTTAGAGTTCATTTAAATGAACCTATGTGGTATTATATGTAACATGCTTAACTTCACGTAACTGATTTTCTATGCAAGAGGGAGGATGCTTTTGTCTTATCCAATCAACTTTTCTTTTGTAATTTCCCTTGATGCCCTAACTATAACAGAAAATATAAGTTGGGCCTTGGAGTTCCCTCTTTGAAAAGGACTTTTTTATTAGAACATTCTGAATAAATCGTAATTAAATGATCTTCTTCTGCCTCGGTTTGCTTCATTTGGGTCTGTGTATACTAGGGCATGAGCCTAATGTATGAAGAACACCATAGTAAATAAACTATCTACATTTCTTTTGGCTATTAAATGGAGGATCACTTTTAAGGGAAGACAATTCATTGTGGTGTTGCTTTCTTGTCCTGGTAAAGTAAGTCTATGTTTATTAATTGGGCTAAATTTTAATTCTTTTTTTTCCCCACTGTATATTTTAAAAATTGCTAGTGGGATATATGAGCGCCTTATCAGAAATCTACCAATTTAGATTAAACAAATTCTAGCTACAATCCCTAAAGTATTGATATATTCTAGTCACAACTGGCAATCAATGGAAGTAATTCTTAAAAGTTAGAGTAAATTAAAGAACTGGCAAACCTTCAAAAATAGCAAGATGCTTTCCTGCTTGAGAATCAAGTACTAAAGTAATTGTGTTTGACAAGGAATACAGAGCATACAATTGCAAGTCAAATATAAATGGTGACACACTTAGTATGTAATTAGAATGTTCACTAAAGATAGGAAAATAGATAGATAAAACTTATGAGGGATCTATATAGGAATGAATGGAAAAGGCAGTGCATAAGGGAGCGTGTCTCCTCACTTTGTTAAAAGGAAGTAATTTCTTTATTTAATTTCTTACTTACTTTCTGTGCGTTGCATAAAGTTGCTTATCCTGAAAGAGAACAGTGTGATGGGTATGTATGTATGAAGCTAAACCTAATCTAACATAATCATTATTCTGGTTCTTTCTGTCATGAGAATAACATGGATGAAAAGAAGATAAATTCTATAATAGTGACCAAAAGATGAAAGCAATAACTAGATGGCCCATAAAGCACTGTAGCTAAGAATAATGAAAGCAAAGCTTGAAGCAACTTAGGGGACTGTAAATTTATAAATTTAAATTAAATATTATAAATTGTAAATAGAGCATTATAATTATATAGCATTATAATAGAGCTTAGTGAAGGATATAAAAAAGATGTTGAGACTCTGGAAACAGTGCAGAGAAGAGCAACAAGAATGATTAGGGGACTGGAGGCTACAACATATGAAAAACAGTTACAGGAATTGGGTATGTCTTAGTCTAATGAAAAGAAGGACTAGGGAAGAAATGATAGCAGTGTTCCAATATTTGAGGGACTCCTAGAGGAGATCAAACTATTTTCCAAAGCACCAAAAGGCAAGACAAGAAACAATTGATGGAAACTGACCAAGTAGAAAAGCAACCTAGATCTAAGGAGAAATTTCCTAACAGTGAGTGCAATCAACCCATGGAACAACTTGCCTTCAGAAGTTGTAGGTGCTCCATCACTGGAGGCTTTTAAGAAGAGACTGGACAGTCACTTGACTGAAATGGAATAGGGTTTTCTGCTTAAGCAGGGGGTTGGTCTAAAAGACCTCCAAGGTCCCTTCCAATAATATTCTACATTCTATTCCCACCCACAATAGGATTTGTCTCACAATAAGTGGTAAAGGATAAGCAGGGATACCTTGTTAGTGCAGCTTCTTGCAAGGAGGACACTTTTGTTATTGTTAATGATTACTCTGCAAGTTATAGAACATTCAAGCAGGGAATCAGCTACAAATAAAAAAAAAAGATGTTGATAATGACACAACTTCTCTTTTAAACCATATTCCAAATGCTTTTCAGTCTTCACAACATCCAGAGCTTCCCTTTTGTAGGAAGTTAGCACCCCTCCCCTTTTTCTGGCCCTTATATCCTCTCTGCTTTGTTGTTTCCTCTGTAGCTCACTAATTGTGATAGCAAACAAAAGGGGATAATCTGGGAATGAGAAAGAACTGATCTCCTGATCTTATTGCAAAGTTAAGAAAATTTCACCTATTTAGATTCCATAAAAGGAAGCTAATGAGGGTGTGGTAAAATAAACCATATTATTTCAGACAGCTGGTAGAGAGATAAAGAGAACACCAGCTCTTTGTCTCTTGTTCTCTATTTTCTATTTTCAAGGATAATTTAAAACAAGAAAGCACTTGCCCCCAATCCCTAGTATGGCATCACAGAAAACCAACAAGTTCCTCATCTGTGGAAATGAGAAAAGCAGTGCTTCTCAAAACTCAAAGCTGTTGAAGCCTGTTCATCTGAAAAAGGGCTTTGTCTGAGATCACAAAGATTAAAACAAACAAAAGCATACAAAGAAACTGAGAGATGGAGGGGGGGTGAGAGAGACGGACACTTACCACTTTAATTCTGCTGGGTGGAAAAGGCACCTGCAAATCTCCCTAAAATAGAATAGAATTCATTAGATTATGTTCTCCTGTCTGCTTCTTTCTTCTTTCACTGTTCAGATTCCACTGTAGCAACAGGAAAGGTGGAAGCACTTCCTCAATAAAATGAGAAATAGCTTCATATTTTGCACTGTTATTCCACAGCAAGAAAATCCTAGCCAAATGAATCATTCCGTCTCTTGGTATTCATATGGAGATGAATTCTCTTTCTCTCTCTCTTTATCACACACACACACACACACACACACACACCTCAATGTAGCACTGCTAACCCTTCAACAAAGGGAGCAGGAACCATCTTCCATTCAATCCTACTAAGATCAAATGGCTGTGGGTATTTGAGCCATGCAGATTTGGGGTTACTTCATGGAGAAGTGTGACCTTTGGATGGGGTCATACGTCTCCATTCAAAGGTGATATTCAACTTGGGGGTTTTCCTGGACTCAAAACTCTTGCTTAATGTGGCAAGGAAGGCCTTTAACACAGCTTAATCTGCTTGCCAGTTACATCCTTTTCTAGATTGTAAGGTGCTTCAGACAGTCACACATGCCCTAGTCCATTCATGGCTTGATTATTGCAATGAGCTCTACACAGGGTTCTTGAAGATCACCATTGGTCCAGGATGCAGTGTCTGGGCAGTGGTTGGTATGCCTCATTATGCCCATGTAACATTTCTGCTTCTCAAATTGAACTGATTGCCAGTTTGCTTCCAGTTGCTGTTCAAAGTGCTGGTTGTTATCTATAAAATCCTATGTGGCATAGGACCTGGTTATATGAAGGATTGATTGTCTCCCATAGTATTTGCCTGGCCAATATGATCTTGCAGAGTTGGTATACTCCAAGTCCCTTCAATTAAACAATGGCATCTATTGGGATTCCAGAAATAAGTAAATATGGCTTTACTACAAATAGGATGGTAGTTATTCTCAGGCTGTTTTAATGGCATTCAGACCTGGTGACTTAAAAAAGAATCCTGGATTTTAAAATTTCTATATTGTAAACTGTCTGGTAATTATTTTGTATAAAGATGTAATAAAATGGATAATAAATGATGAAAGAGCTGGCATTCTTCTTTTTGGAAGGAAAGTAGTCCACTCAATGAACTGTACTAAAATGTTCTCTGACTTCTTGAGTTTTCCTGACTATCTAGGATTATCATGGGTCATCAACAAACTCTACCAAAATTGTCTCAGTACTAAATCCCATCTTGAAACCAGACTGAAATGGATCTAGATTATGTGAACAATGCCTTATGTTGATTGGACTTTGCACCAACTTTCTCTTTAAATCACAGAAACCGAACTGTATAATAAAGTATATATTAATACTATATGAAAACTAAAATATCCAGGAGCTTGTTAGCAGAAAGGGACACCTTCTTAAACAAATACTAGATGTATTCACACCACATTTTATTGAGCAGAATTCTGCTTTTTTAAAAAAGAAATTGTATAAGTATGATCCATTGTAATTTAATTCAGTAGAACTCTACTCAAATAAGAATGCATCAAAATATAGTCTGTATCAACATCAAAATATAGGCTGCACTCTCAGAGAGTCTATCAAGTGTACTGTCTTTTAAAATTAAAAACAAAAGTTTACATGCAAAATAATTTTTCCAGTTACTATATATGCTTGGCTATGCTGAATTTCAAATAAGCCCAGTTTCAAACAGGTCTCATCAAAGTTCAGCACTGAGAAATAATAATGTATTTCCTGCTGTAAATACAACACTTAACAATCAGGAGTATTCCTCACAAATTTCCTGTAAATGCACAATTTATATATTTTGCTTCTGAAATGGGACTCCACTTGCGTACATAAAAATCTGATCTAATTGCAAAAATATTCACTAGTGCATACTGTATAACCCCCCCCCAACAGACTGAAAACAACCAATATAATAGTCTTGATCTCAAGACCTAAGACACAGAACATTGGTTCTACATTTTTTTAAATATCGGTATATATTAGCAAGCAAAGGCAAGACCTGAAAGAGCTCATAATTTCTAAAGCAATATAAACAGGCAAATGTATATAACTTGGTGCAATTTCTGCAAATGTTGACATTACTTTTTCCAGAGTTCTGATGATCTGTTGCTTTCTTTAGAATCTATGATAAAAGTATCTTCAGGAGAAATCTCTCTTCTCTGTGAACATATTTCTTTCTTCGTTTTCATGGTCATTTCCTTTGTTATGTGTCTGTAGATATTATGCATAAAAATAATCCATTGTCTAAACTGCATCAGTCTGCAGCTATATGCTTGATCCTTCTGAATGACTCAACACAGAGACATACAACATCAGCAAAAACAATGCAAACATACCTGCTTTGGTGCTGGTATCAGGCCAGGAAAATGTTTAAAAATAAATGTGTTCCTGTTAGAGCTCTTCCAACAGCAGAAGACTGGCCCTTCTTAGTTCACAACATGCTATATTGCCAGAAAGAAATCTGGATAGCTTTTCTTTTGGCAAAGTTGGCATTCGCCTGGGATTGGGTGGGTGCTGGCAAATTACACAATCCTAACAATTATGGACAAGCAAAAATAACCTTCAAGAGGCTTATTCAGATGATACAAAAATGTTTTAGTATCCTGTAACTAAAGTCAGGCTGTACTATATATATAGCCATATATCAAATAAGAAAAACACACAGAATTGAATATACCAAGTAGCTAAAAAAAACTATACAGCTAAGGAGTTTTCAAAGTTAAGGTTTAAAATGAAATCTTGAAATAATAAGCCTCTTCTAATATGATAAGCACAAAATGTTATCTTGAGCTTTACGCAATCCACCCACTTGGCAAGATAAGGTAGAACAAATTTTTATCAACCTTGATAACCACATTCCAACAAGTTTACAATAATCCTCTTGTATAGATGTAAGCAGAAAAAGTATTATTTCAGTTAACTAGAGCACACATGTATATACACACATATAAAAAACGCTATAAATTATTTTTAAAATAAAAATTGCAAAAGCAATACAAGTATTAACATATTTGCCAATAATGATAATATTAGCTAAAACAAAATAAATGTTCAATATAATAAAGGGCTGCAAAATGAGCTGGAAGAAAATTGCAAACCTAAATGCATTAAACATTTGTTTGTCATTCAAATCCTACTGTTGGCAACATGACCTTTCAGCAAATTCTATTTACTGTAACATTGCAATGTCTTTTCAGCTGGAGTCACAACTTTTGCAAAGTCCTAAAAGGGGTAAATGGTTGCATGATCAGTGAACCCCAAACCTGAAGCATTGAAAACAGGAGAGTGAGGGAGAGAACCAGACCGAACTCTGATATTTTAAAAAGGCATCATTTAAAAAAGATTTATCACTTTTAAAATTTTAGTGCTATTAGTTATTTATATCTTTCCAGAAGTAAGACTGTGCATTTATAATGAAAGGAAAATAGATTTCCGAGAATAAATCCACATTGTTTCTGATTAATTGGTGAATTTTTCAGGAAAGGAAGATCATGTCCCAGATTTGCAGTATATACTTTCCCCCACCCAGCATCACGCGAATATCAATCATATCATTACCATGTAATAGCAGGATTTTCAAACTGTTTGTGTGTGTAGCATCAAAATAGAAAAAAGGTCTAACATAGCAGTTCATAAATGAAGTTATATATCAGCAAGTAGAGCATCTTTTAAAATAAAGAAAAAAATACAGATTTATGGATTCAGAAGTTGGCAACGGAAGAGATAGTAGGGAAAGAGAATGCAAATGCATGTTCACATCTTTCAGTTGCAATCCTTTACATATTTATTCAGGAGCAAACCCAACTGACTTCAGTGAGAATTGCTTTTAAATAGAAATATCTATGATTGTAGCTGAGATTGTTTTAGTTCATAATGTCTTAGAGATAGCACAATTCTAGACAAGCTTACTCCGAAATATGCCTTACTCTACTCAATGTGATTTAATCCCCACCTAGAAACATCAAAAGATTATGTTCCCCCAGGGCAATACACTTACTGAGTACAGAGTCTAAATTAACATATATTAAATTTAAACTTATTAAATTTAAAACCCACTTACCTAATAGAACAGATGGCTCCTTGGTAGAAAGTTAAACCTCTTCTGCTGTTCTAATTATTTTTTTTCATCATCACAATTCTTTGCACTTGTTGCAGGGATTATTTTAATTTCCTCTTCCCTGGCCTCTTTAGAAAAAACAGTGCTGAAGCATTCAATATTATATTCCGAATAAAAGAAAAAAGTTGTATGGATATCTTACAAATCATCAGTTTGGCAAATAGTTGAGTGACACTATTATTGGCTCTTATGTAATGTTAACTAATTGAAACCATCTGACCAACAGAAATAATGTGGGTCACTAGAAGGTGTTTGTTCCTGGCCACCATTGACCATTTTCAAGATTTTGTTGTTGTTGTTTTGTACTGTAATCTATAATTCTGCTAAACTGTGTTCTACTAATGCAAGAACAACAACCCTCTAAGGAAATGGCATCATGAGAGGCTCAGCCAATCTCATTGTACACATGTTGTACTCTGACAATAAGGGTTTGAAATTTGGGATGAACATCAAATTCATGAAAGCAGCTTTTAATGTGGTTGGCTGAGATTCTGAAAAGCCTTGGGAAACCTTCCCTTATAAAATAAATCAGAAGTAAACAGCAAGCTTGATCAACAGACGTTCTTCCATTTCAGCCATTTTAAATCAAGAAGTCAAATATAATTGTTGGCAATGGCAGAGCTTTTAACAAAGCAGTATCTCAAGCCCTAGAAGTTTCTCATCTGTAACTTATTACAGTCACTATAAATACGTATTTTAAAATGTGTTAAATATGACACTGATACAAGAAAGCACACACCAACATTTCACACAAAATATAATTCAAAGAGAATTGCTCATACAAAGGTAGGCAGACCTTGTTTCTAAGCCTGATGTGCACAACTTCCGCAAAACACTACTAGGTCTCCTAAGCCTCATTTCTTTTTTTTTTATTTTATTTTAATAAACAAACATACATATACAGACGTAGACATTTAAACAAACTATACATAAACTAACTATACAGTAAAATCAAGTCATAGAGCTTGAACTTTGAAAATAGAGCTACTTCGGTAATTATATATCTATACATCTGTGTATATTTATCCTTCATCATGTATCAATGTTTATACAATGATATTTCATTTTATTTCCTTATTTTTGTATCATTGGGTGGTATTCCCTTATTTCGTGTTCTTTTTATCTAACCAGTTGTACCATTTTTGCCAAATTAAACAATAATCTGAATCTTCTTTTCCCTGTATTTCTTTGGTAAGTTTGTCCATTTCCGCACATTCCATTGTTTTTTGTATTATTTTTTCCTCTGATGGTGTATCCTCCAGTTTCCACATTTGTGCGAAAATGATTCTAGCTGCGGTCAGGATGTGTATTATCAAGTATTGTGTCTCTTTTTTATAGTCCTTTGTCAGTATTCCTAATAGGTATGTTTCCGGTCTGAGGGGCACTTTTTGGGTGGTGATTTCTTCCAGCTGATTTTGAATTGTTTTCCAAAATTTTTTGACCTTTGGGCATGACCACCACATGTGGTAGTAGGTCCCCTTCTGTGTTTTACACTTCCAACAGTTCTGATTAGTATTGGGGAACATCCTTGCCAAACGTGCAGGGGGGAGATGCCACCTATAAAACATCTTGTATGTATTTTCTTTGTAGCGCATGGACATTGTCAGCTTAGTATTTACTTTCCACATTTTCTCCCAATTTTCTAGGTTAATATTATATCCAAAATTTTTAGCCCAAATAATCATATTTTCCTTTACCACTTCTTCTTCCAATTTGTATTTTAATAGATAATTATATATTTTAGTTATTAATTTATCGTCTGATTGCATTATAATTTTATCTAATTCATTTCTTTCTTTTTGGATTCCAATTTTTTTCATGTCAATTTTATATCTTGATTTTATCTGTAAATATGTCCACCAGTCAATGTCGGTGCCCTGCTGTCTCAATTCCTCTCTTGTTTTCATTTCTCCCTCTGTGTTCAACAATTCATCATAGGTTTTCATCTTGTCTATATCCATTGTGTTCGGATAAATTTGGGCCTCCATGGTTGATAGCCATCTTGGGATTTTGTCGTAGTGTTTTCTCCTTATTTCGGTCCAAATATTTGCCAATGCTCCTCTGATATAATGTCTCCTGAAATGTTCATGTTGCCTGGGTTTTTCCTCCCATAAAAATGCGTGTCAGCCTTTGGACAGGTCAAATCCTTCTAATGCTAACGTTTTTATCTTCGAGTGTCATCCAGTCTTTAATCCAAGTTAAAGCTGTTGCAGTGTAGTAAGTTTGCCAATCTGGTAGTCCCAGGCCACCCCTTTCTCTATTGTCCTGCAGGTGTTTCAGTTTAATCCTGGCTCTTTTTCCTTGCCATATATACTTTAATGTCATTTTATCAAGGTCTTTGAAATATGATTTTCCTGGATTTATCGGTATTGTTCTAAATAGGTATAATAATTTTGGTAAAATTGTCATTTTGATTGAAGCAATTTTGCCTAATAGCGATAGTCTCAATTTACTCCATGCCTCTAAGTCCTTTTGAATTTGTTTGGCCAATTTATTATAATTGTCTTCTTTAAGGGATGATACCTTATTGGTGAGCCAAATTCCTAGGTATTTTATTTTTGTTGTTGTTTGTATTTCTAACGTCTCTTCCAATTCTTTCTCCTGGATTTTTGTCAAATTTTTAGTTAGTAGTTTTGTTTTTTGTCTATTAATTTTCAATCCTGCCACTTTGCCATATTGTTCTATCTTCCTTAATAAATTCAATCCTGATTGTTTTGGTCGTTCTAAAATAAATACTACGTCGTCCGCGAATGCTTGTAATTTATACTCCTGGTTTTTTGTTCTTAATCCTTTTATTTCATTGTCATTCCTAATTTCATTCAACAGTGGTTCCAATGCTAATATATATAATATAGGAGAGAGGGGACACCCTTGTCTCACTCCCTTGGATATTTTAAATTGGTCTGTTGTCTCTCCGTTTATCCATATTTTTGCGGTTTGGTCGGAGTATATTGTTTTGATCATATTTAAAAATTTATCGCCGGTTCCCATTTTTTCTAATTGTAATGTTAAGAATCCCCAATTAAGGTTGTCAACGCCTTCTGTGCGTCAAGAAAGAGTAAGGCCATTTTTTCATCCGATTTTTGCTCATAGTATTCCAGGATATTGATTATTGTTCTTGTGTTCTTATTGATTTGCCTATTTGGAATAAATCCATTTTGGTCTGGATGGATGTAATCCACGATAATTCTCTTCATTCTCTGGGCCATGATTGATGTAAATAATTTATAATCTGCGTTTAGAAGTGATATGGGTCTGTAGTTTTTAGTTTGGGTGAGATCTGAGTCTTCTTTGGGTATCAATGTAATAATTGTCTCTATCCATGATTTAGGAATTTTGGCTTCTAAAATTGCTTCATTCAGGACTTGTAATAGAATATCATCTATTGGCTGGTGTTCAATTTTGTAAAATTCCGCCGGGATGCCATCTGGACCTGGTGTTTTATTGTTGTTCTGCTTCTTCTTTGCTTCAATTAATTCTGACATCGATATTGGTCTGTTCAAGAGTTCTCTTTGAGTTTCCTTTATTTCTTGAATGTTGGTTTTATATACTCTTTTACTTTTTCAATTGGATTTCTTCCTGTGCATATAGTTCCTGATAGAAGTTTCTTACGATTCGCTTTTTTTCCTCATTCGTATGCTGCAATTGCCCTTGTTCGTCTTGTAGTTGATGTATTAGTCTTTTTTCCTTTTCTTTCTTTAGCTTATAGGCCAACCAACGTCCTGTTTTATTTGTGAATTCAAATTGGTTTTGTTTTGCCATTTTGATTTTCCTAGCTATTTCTGTTGTTGTTATTAGGTTTATTTCATGTTTAATAAGATTTATTTTTTCCTTGATCTCTTTCCTGTCGGGTCTGTTCTGTAATTCTGCTTCCTGTTTTCCAAGATCAATCAATAAATTGTTTCTTCTTTGCTGTTTCTCTCTATTTTTCTTCGCCTTGAATGAAATTGTTAGTCCTCTTATATATGCTTTTGTGGTGTCCCATAGGACTTGTAATGATGTTTGTTCCCTCTTGTTTATTTGAAAGAATATCTCCATCTCTTTCTTTATCATCTCTATGTATTCTTTATCTTTGATGATCTCTCTGTCCATCATCCATCTTCCTCTTTTTTGCTGGCCTTTCCAGACTATTGTTATAGGACTGTGATCTGCCCATACGTTCGGTGTAATTTCGATTTCTTTTATGTTTTCTCTTAGTTCTGCAGTCATCCAGGCCATGTCTAGTCTGGACCAGGACTGGTGGGGATTTGAGTAATATGTATACTGTTTTTTGGTTTTATTCAGTTCTCTCCAGGCATCTTTCAATTGTAACTCTTGAATTATATCCTTAAAGGTGTCGGGTAGTGTCTTTTTCCTAGATTTATTTTTTTTATTATTTTGGTAATCATAATCCATATCAACGATCGCATTATAGTCCCCTATTATACATATATGTTCGTAATCTAATTCCTTAATTTTACTGTGTATTTTTTTAAAGTATTCTTTTTGGTTCCCGTTCGGAGTATATATTGATATCAGTAACATGTTTCGGGCCTCCATCTTAATGTCTATCATTAATATCCTGCCTTCTCCATCTGTGTAGATTTGTTTTGCCTGAATATGACTTTTAATGTATACTGCAATGCCTCTTTTTTTTTGATCTGATAATGAGGTGAATAATGTTCCTAGACTTCTGTTTTCTAGTAACTGTTGATGTTGTTTTTTGATATGTACTTCTTGTAAATTGATAATGTCTATGTCTAATTTTTGTAGTTTTTTGAAAGTATGTGTTCTTTTGGTTGGTAGATTAAGACCGTTTATATTGATTGAAATTAATTTCAATTCTCGTCCCATTTTCCTTACTTTCTTTTTGTTAGTCTAAGTCTACTTGTGTTTCTTGTTACCATTTGTGTTTTCCCCCTGGCCCCTTCTCTCTCCATCTTCTCCCTCTCCCTAGACTCCTTCTCTTCCTTTTCTTTTTTTGTTTTCTCCGTGGAGTGTTCCTGGTTTGTGTTTTCCGAATCACATCTAGTTTCCTGTTCTTCTTCTATTATAAAGTGAGTATCAAAAATTCTTGTGCCTTCTCTATCGTGTCGATTTTATATTTTTTATCGTCCCAGGGTATTAGAATTCCCTCTGGCACCAGCCAGCGGAACATTATTTTATGTTGATTCAGTAGGGTTGTCAAGAAATTGTAGTTT